TATAAATGTTATTAGAACAATTGAAAATGGATTTACCATGATGAGATGTGACAGATATGGAATATCAGGTGTTTGGGATTCCAATGGACAAACTTATAATGCAGTACCAACATTAAGTAATTTAACAATATCATTTGATTTTCCAATCAAAAAACGCACCAAAACTGTTTATGGAGTATTTGGTGAAAGTTTGGGATATATCTGTTTAGTTTTGGCTTTAATCATAGTCAGTTTATTAGCATTTTTTAAATTTTCTAAACAAGAAAATATTAAAAAGAAAATCAAAAAATGGATCTAATTGTTATTGTATTTTAAATACTTATATTTTAAAAAAATTAAAATTAATACTTGTTATATAAAATGTTATCGAAACAACAATAATAATATCTATGCGAGTTTCTGGATTCAGTTATATTTCCTACTTTATGAGAATTAATGTGATTATCTGGAGGTTAACAACTCACCTTTGAGCAATTTCTTTGGCATTATTAGTGATTTTGTCCAGATTCTCTTCATTGACTACTATATCAATGTGGCATTTATAGATTTCAACAGTTTTTTAAATTAAAACAATATTAAATCAAATAAATCCAATCAAGGGTCAACAAAATACGCTTACACAGACATGTAAACAACACTTGACTGAATATCAAAATAATTCACCAGATTTGATCACGTGCTTGCTAAAATTAAATGGTCTCTAATTTAACGGCTAATTTAATATTTCCAATCAAGATAAACCCAATGGTATATCAATGGTTCTCTCCAATAATGTGAAGATCATTCCCAGTAAGATAATCTGTGATCTAATTATCTTGAATTTTATAAAATTTTGATATACCTGTCATCTTTATTATCACAGCAGCACATCACCCAACCCACCTCACTGCCTATCACAACATTCCAAGGATTCATTTAGTACTTAATTTTTATAGGTTGCTTTTTTTTGCATCTTAATGTGACTTATATCAAGCTTTTAGGTACTTGGTCTCATTCTCTTGGTTTATGATATTCTCATCAAGAGTAAGAGTTTTTATATTATAAGAACTTCTGTTCAAACGGTAAAAATCAATTTCTGTATCATTAGAGATGTGCCATATGTTAGCTGAGATCCATTTATTATAAACA